TGATAAAATGTTTAAGGAGCAGTTAGAAGCTTCCGAGCAATTACTTTGTTGTGTTTTTGACTTTTGAAGACAAGTTACAAATAAAGGCCATTTAATTTACAAAATCCTATCTTTGTGTCTGCTCTGATCATTTCTTCCTCATGGTGCACGTTTCTTTTCGGCACCTCCCCAGACCCTTCGTGCAGGCTGTGTAACACTGCAGAGCACAGCAGATACTGGGATATGCTTCCATGGAATACTTTGTACTGATTAGTTGCAACTTTTGTTTATAATCTTTTGAACCATGCAAGTTATGGAAAGTAGTTCAGATTGAGTGTGGATCAAGCCTCCACTCACCCATCTGGGTGTGGAAACGTGTGGTGTTAAAACGCCTGAGTACAGAACCAGTTTGGGCCTCAGCCCAGGGGAGAGTGAAGTGCTCTGCCAGAGCTGCTCTCACCTGGTCAGCAGCTGATCGGAGCAAACCCCGAGCACCCATTGTGAGTGATAATACAATCAGCCACCTGGGACCTGTGAAATTCCCCATGTCTGGCACAAGGAGTCAGCCTTAGGAGGACAATTAGCACGGAGAGATGGAAAGGGAGGGGACAAGCTTGCAGTTGTATTAAATGAATCTGTCTCCAGTCAACGACTTGTCTTAATGGGTCTGATAAATCTTCAGCATTAATTGCCTAACCCATGGGCATTGCTTCATCTGGAACTACAGCTCTAAATCCCCCTGGTCTCATTGTGCTGGGGGATGAGATCTTGTCAAGGATCCATCCAAAATAAAGCATTAGTGGTATATTCCCAGGTCTTCATGTCACCTGATTGACAACAGAACACAAATTTGCTTCGAGGCCTTTGGCCAGCTGCACTGGGCAATCACTGGTGAGACCAGGGCAAGGATTAGCCAACCGAGGCTGTGCTAAATCATGGAAAAGTAAATGAGGGATGTGCTCACAGTCCTAAAGCTTTTCTTTGTCTTAAACAGACTGAAAATGACAATGGGGCATTTGCCTGTTTTGGGGGTGGGTTTTTGTTTGGTGTCCTAACGCAGAGCTCCATGTCACAGCTGCATTGGGCTGTGCCTCATCTATAGCAACTCACTTTTTATGGGCAAATTACATTATTTTCCAGGTGATACAAATGAGGACTATAGATAGAAACCACTATGAAAACTTGCTAGTCTTTCCCCCAAACTCCAGAAAATACTCGGCATTTAGTGAAAAATAAGTGTCATTGCTACAGGCCTGGGTCCCTCTTCTGGTTCTTCTTATATTTATTCTGTCATTACCCAGTACTCAGACGGTGGGGTTTAAAAACCGTGGAGCTTCTGGGAGCTACTTTATTCCCTCGCAGTGAGGGTCCCTCCCGCGGGGAGCGCGGGGCTGACAGCAGAGGGAGGTCTTGCATCTCGGAGAGAGCAGCGCTCCCTCTTCCCAGCCCTGTGCCGGCTGCGGCCTCCTGCTCCAGGGGCTGCGCTGGGCTCCAGGGAGCTTCTCCAGCCTCGCACGGAGGTTCACACCCCATCCCCACACCCCGTGGCCAAAGCTTCCCTCTGCCCCACCACAGCCTCCCTTGGCGGCAGGAGCTCTGCTCTCCAGCCAGATACTCAACATGCTTCGTGGAGCCATGGGGCCAAAGGAATAAAAAGAAGAATTTGCAGCAGACTTCTTGCTCTGGAGGTGGTTGGAGCGTACCTGTGTGTCTGGAGCTGTGCCATGGGCTGGTGGCAGGTCTACTCTGGCCACCCTGGGGCTCTGCTGCTGCCAGAGCCCAGTGCTCCAGTGCAGGTGGAACAGCTGAGAAACCACTGCCACTTCCAGCCCGTGAACCACTGCAGAGCTTCCCCTCTGCTCTGTCTGCTGCTCTCTGTCCTGTGCTATCCTGGCTCATGGGCACAGGCAGGACAGACCAATTTCTCCTTTGATCTTGGTTTTTCCCCTCACACAGACAAGTTTTTTCCACACACGGTGGTTGGAACAGATCTGATTGTTATGATTTCACCAAGAACAGAGGAGAAGGCTTTGCTTCTTGAAAGAAAACCACCTTGCTGGGTTCCTCGTACCAGTGTCCCCAGTGTAACCACATCCGCGGCAGGTGGAGGAGTGTGGG